CCTGGTTCACAGCGCAGCTCAGCCCCTGCTGGACATGTGACTCGACCAAGTCCCAAGTTGAGAGCATGGGCTGTGGAAGCAGTGGCCAAGGATTCATCTCCGTCCTACCCTTTACTATTTGACTTAGAGCAATTCTTTGAATTTCTAGTAGTCTCAGTTTCCTGTCTGGAAAATGTAGTTTATACCACCCACCTCACAGGTGTGCTGAGAGGATTAACTGAGATTATGCATCTAAGGCTCCGATGGAATGAAGCTATTTTTATTAGCTAGAAAGTGAGGTGATTGCACTAGATGGTTATTGAGATCTTTTTAGCAAAAATATAATTATAAGAATATTTAACCCTTTATTTAGTGGAAATTCTGGCTTTGAAACACTTTTAACCACTTTCAAGATGTGAGAAACCCTCCCTTCACAGAAGAGACACCCACTCTGTCATGAAGGACCACACGTCAACAAGTGTGTCCAGGCCACTCGGAGCCTGCTTGGAAAGGGCCAGGAGCAGCATTAGCACACATTGACCTGAGCATAAGTTTTCAATGGCTGCACTGGGGACAATCTGGCCATTCCTAGAGGGACACCATCTGGTTTAACTGAACAGCAATTTGGATTGAGCATGAAGGTGTTTCAGAGACAGAAAACAAGCTAGATAAGCACTCTCTGAATTGGAGCAGCATTTCCTGAAGTCTGTTCTTGCAAGAACTTACCAAAAAAAGTTATAGGCTCCATGAGATTGGAAAACTCTGCAAATTACCATGTATACCCAATATAAGGCAATAATTAACATAAAATCAACTTTCAGTTTCCTATAAAGAAGTTTCAATATAAGCTCTTGACCAAGATTAATATATAAACTTTCAGTGATATATGCTTATTTTAAATCACATGTATAAAATATAAAATAATTTTAATATATTGATTTTGAAATATGGCTTTTTTCCCCAGGCATCTAATTTTCACAGCAGACCTTTAGTCAGGCTTTACCGTGCCCATTTTATAGATGAGAAAACTAACACTCCGAAGAAATACGTTATGCAGAGTCATCATACAGAGAAAAATAGCAAAGCTGAGATTTGAGCCTGGGTCTGCTGACTTTTAAAATCATGTGCTTTGCACTACACCTTCATGTCACCAAAATAAAATAATAGAGGTGATAATTTTCCACCTCTATTTAAAAAATTATTAATGTTTCCACACTACACTCATTACTGTTTAGAATGGACACTGTATCTCTGGACCTACTTTTTTATCTGTAAGAGACAGTTAATCGAATGGGCTCCAGGGTTGTTTTCTGCCTTTCATGTTGTATAATTCTATTTTGATTTTATAATTAAATAAAAAGAAAGATGCTAGGACAATCTATGTTTCATTAAGTAATCTCTGTCATATGATTTAAAAGAACTAGAATGTTGGGTTTGTTTAACCCAAAGAAGATAAAAGTTTTAGAGAGTGGAAGGGGTGGAGGTATGTTAAATATAAAACATGTTTGAGATATAAAAGGTCGCCTGCTGGGCATGGCTCAGTGGTTGAGAGTTGACCCATGAACCGAAAGATCGCAGTTCGATTCTGGGTCAGGGCACATGCCCCAGTTTTGGGCTTAGTCCCCAGTAGGCGATGTGCAGGAGGCAGCCGATCAATGACCTTCTCTCATCAATGATGTTTCTATTTTTCTTTCCCACATTCTTCCTCTCTCTGAAATCAATAAAAACATATTTTTTTTAAAAAAAGAAATAAAAGGTCTGCAGATATTTTAAAGGCTGCTACCACATGGAAGAGAGGCTGGACTCAATCATTTCGATCTCAAGGAATGTAGTTATGACTAATAAGGAGAATTTCTAGACTTCTACTCTTTCTCACGAGCAGAACCTGTGTGCTACATAAGACCAAAAGCATTCTAGGAGGCCCCACATGCCCATCTCCTGAAAGACAGGCTTCCACCAGTAAAGTCCCTGTAGTCACCATGCTCAACAGCAGGCTGCTTACTTGTGGTGAGAGCAACCTGTGGACCAGCTTAAGAACCTGCTGTCTTCTCTTTCAGATGTTCACCTCCATAATATTTGCTGTGATTGGATTCTTGGGCGCTGGATACTCATTTGTCATCTCAGCCATCGCCATCAACAAAGGTCCTAAATGTCTCATGGAAAATGGCCAGTGGGGCTACCCCTTCCACAAAAGGTAAGGTGCACCCTGCAATGCCCACTTGTCACCCCAAGGGGCAGGGGCAAATAAATGGCCCAAGGGGAGAAACTGCACATGTCCTGTCATCCTAACAAGTCTCAGGCATGCTGCTGTGAGGCAGAGCTGGAGTGGGGAATGTAGTGACACTGCACAAGAGCTCACCTCTAATTGCTGCTCTGACAGGGACCAGGTAAAGTAAGGAAAGGGCACCTCCGCCAGCCTGAGGGAAGGAGAGCTGTGGTGTGCCCACTGACACCCACAGTTTATTAACAGACACATGAAACAACTAGCAATATTGATAACAGACAGTGTTGACTTCCACTGCAAATCTTAGAATAGAAAACAAGCATGATTACTCACCACAGGGCCCGAAGGCTTTCACTAATACCCCAAATGGTCTATAACTAACAGTTTTTCAAGGTGCAAATTTACAGCTAATGGCATTGGAAACCGTGTAGATTCTTCATGAGAGTTAATGTTAATAGAAATATTTAAAATAACACTTCACTTTATATTTTCATGGTGCTTTGTAGTTTATAAAAAATAAAAAAAAAAATTTCTTTTTTTGTTTTTTTTAAACAAATTTATAATTTAGTATCCATAACAACCTCAAGAGGTAATTTGCTTCCTGCCAAGACAGGCTGAATAAGTTTGACTTGCTCTGAGTCAGGCCGCCAGTTGGGAGCAGAGACAGGGCTCAGATTCACATCTTCTGACTTCCAGGCTCCGTCTCCTTACATCACACGCTCTGTGCCTCTACGCTGCACTGTCCAATGACGCAGCCAGGAGCTCGTGTAGCTATTTTAATCTAAATTCATTTAAATCAAATAAAGTTTAAAAAGTCCCCAGTCACATTAGTCATCTTTCAAGTATTCAGCGGCCACCCAGGGCTGGTAGTGACTGTACTGAAAACGCAGACACAGGCAGCTCCATCGTCACAGCCGCCCTTCAGACGGTGCTGGGTGGGCTCGAACTTCCCCGAGGGCTGGGACCATGTCTGCTCTTCACGGCGGCAGCCCCTGTGCCCAGCACAGTGACTGACACACAGAGGGTCAGGAAAGGTGGTTGTTAGGCTCCCTGCACATGGAAGATGGGTTCATTGCTAGAAAATCTATAGGACACCAATTTATTAACTCGAACCCCTTTATTAATTTACAGTGGAAAGTGAAAGAAGCTCAGAGCAGCCTGCAGACAGCGGAGCTGGCGGTTCTGGTTCTGTGACAATCCGAGGTCTCGGTGTGTTCACAAGTTTCACATAGAATATCTCCCACCCTTCTCTATAGTCAAACAGGAATACAAGGCCTCTAATATCCTCAAAGCACAGGCAGGGACACCCAGATTTCCTGTGAAAAGGCCTCTCCTCTCACAGAGGACTGCTGGGGCCCCAGGGCCTGGAGGTTGGCCGCCTGAGCGCAGCATTTGGACAGCAGAAGGCAGAGCCCTCTCCTGAGGCTATTCAGCTGAGGGCTCAGGGTCCCCCTTAGGAGTGTGGCTGAGGGCTACAGGTGACGTCTTCTTCCTGGACCCTTTTTTTATTATTTCTAACAACGTCGTCAGTGCAGTGCTAAACAGGTTTTCCTTTCTCTTCTTCTTTTTAAATATATCTTTATTGATTTCAAAGAGAGGAAGGGAGAGGGAGAGAGGGAGAAATATCCATGCACTGCTTACCTCCCACATGGACCCCCACTGGCAGAGCCTGCAACCAATGTAGTGCCCTTGGCCGGAATCAAACCCAGGACCCTTCAGTCTGCAGGCCAAGCTCTAACTGCTGAGCCAAACCTGCTAGGGCACCTAAACAGGTTTTTCTAATTATTCTGTTACCTGAATGGTACTATCCTTGATGAACTTAAAATCAGAGTAAATCTATGTCCAAAACAAAGGAGGAGAAAGGAAACACAATAGATGCCAGGTCACACTCCCAGGGAGTACAGTGGTCTCTTATGAGCAAACTTAAGGGCCAAACACCTCCCCTGGCACACTCACACCCTGCTTGTGATGCCATGGGTCCCATGTCCGGCTCTCATTAGCTCACTTTAGAGAGTAGAAAAGTCCTGTTTTAAAAGTTTTGCTACAGGTAACTATGCCTTTCATTATTTTGCGATTTAATTCAATTTTGTCAAGCACTCACAAGAAGATACATAAAGAATAATCTCTTTATCTTAATATAAAGATATCTTAATTGGCAGACAATTATAGATGTATTTACAATTCATTGCTACAGATGGAATTTATTATTATGCATTAGAACTTTCTAAACTGTTATGCTCTTAGCCCTGGCCGGGTGGCCTAGCTGGTTGGAGCATCATTCCACACACCAAAACGTTGCGGGTGTAGTCCTCAGCTGGGGCACATATGAGAGGCAACCAATAGGTGTTCCTCTCTTTCCTTCTCTCTAAAAGCAATAAAGATATGCTTCGGTGAGGATTTAAAAAAAATTAAAAGGTTACACTTTCAATAATAATTTTGTGACTTAATGTGAATCTTTTCAAGAGGTCGAAGGAAGACTGAAAGAGAGCAATGTCTATAGCTGTGTGAGGAAGCCTTGCCTGGCGCTCCTTACAGCGTGGGCCTGCATTTTCTCAGAAAGTCATGCTTCCAATAGACTGAGATGTAGCTTCCTCAAGAGAGGCATCTGTGTAACGCTCAAGAGCATTGGCTTTGGAGTCAGACAGACCCCAGAGCAAATCCAGACACGTCCATTTCCAGCCTGAACTTCGCAATCTGCGTATGGGCGTGTGTTCATTCACTGTGACATGTCCTGAGGGTGACTCCAGGGCAGGCCTTGTGGATGGAGAGCAGCGCCTGCTGGTGGGCTGGGAAGGCGATGTAAAGCGCTGGCCCACCAGGACACCAGCAGGGTGTGCAAGCTGCTGTTATTTACTGCAAGTCCCTGTGCTGGAACTAGGGATAGAGATAGGGGACACGGTCTCTTCCCTTGTGAGTGCACAGTCCTGAAAAGTAGACAGATAAATGGCCAAACTGATATAGAGAGCACTGGGAAGCACAGAAGGGGACCAAAGCCAGCTGAGGGCAGGAGGAACATCAGGAATCTGTCCCAGGGGAGGAGATGGCACCTTAAGTAGCCAGGCAGAGTGGCCAGCAAAGCAGTGGGCTCCCCTGCCCTTCCTTCCACTGCAAGAAGTGAGCTGCATGAACTCCATGGTGCTCCATTCAGATGGTGATGGGTGACTGCCACTCGGTGGAAATGCCCTTCCCCAGAAGAGGCTGCTTTAAAACTCTGGCTCAGTAAGCTGATGTAAACTGCCTCAGCTCCCCTTGCTTCACAGAGTGTGGAAACATGATGAGGCCCAGGGCCATGAAATATGAGGTTGGAGACTTGGGCACAGCTATCATTGCCTGCATCTCTGAGAGTCTCAGAACCTGAGACTTTGGGGGAGAGAAGGGCCTGGAACAGCCATCCCTGGTGGTTTGTGGGTGGGACTGAGAGGGTTGCTCCAGGCACCAAACTCAAGCCTTGCTTCCAAGTTCCACCCTCAGCATTTTGCTAATCCCGCCTCCAGGAGGTGCTGTCATCCCACCACTGCACACGCTCCTCAGAAGAGGGAAAGACTCACACTGCCAATCACTTCATCTCAGGGCCTTCTCTTCACTAAATGTGCCTGGAAAATATTGTTTCTCTGTAACTTCTTATCATCATCAAGTTTAAAAACAGTAAAGAGGGACAGGACTACATGGAAAAATGCAGAACAGAAAGACGAGCGTTTAAAAATATAACTGCCAAAAAGAGGTCTTACTCAACAATACATATGTTGTATTTTCTCAGTGAATTCTCACAACTGAGAGGTTACTTTCAGCCTATTTTATAGGTGAAGAAACTGATACTGCTGGTGGGAAACGGATAAGTAACTTGGGTGAGGAACACGCAGCTAGTAAGAGGAATGCTTGCATTCAAACCCAAGTCCATCAGAATCCAGGATACCAGGCTCTTTCCTTTAGACAACTCAGATCAAGTGAAATAAAAGCAATCCTAGCATTACTGAGCGCTTCCTATATGCCAGGCACTGTCCTAAGCACTTTATTTGTATTAGCTCATTTAATCCTCACAATAACTCTAGGATTTCACAGGTAATGTGATTCCCATTTTACAGGTAAGTCACACAGCCAGTGCAGCTAGAACCTGTGCTCTTATGGAAAGTCAGTCAATGTTATAAACAATGTTTTATTTTCAAATCAAGAGCAAATGCCCGTTCCTTTGTTTTTTCGACTATTAAATACCAAGGCATCTTCCATCATTGCAAACATTTTTCAAATCTTAATACAGAATGTATTAAATAAGTGTGTACTGATTACTATAGAATTCATCAGAAACAGGAATCATCAAAAAAATCCAAGCACAATCAGGTGGGTGCTGACTTGGTAGCCAGGTGCAGACAGAGCTTCCCATCGAGGCCCTGAGAGGACAGAGGAGGCATAAAGGAAGGGGGGAGACCAGCTGGTGGCTCTGAGTGTGAGGAGGAATGACAGCGACCCAGAGGCCTGGCCCTCTTCCCTGTGGCTGTGGGAGACAGTGCTTCGTTTTCCCTTCAGGGCAGACGCCCTCCCGGTGCAGGGGCCTCCTCACATATAGCTCGTCAATGTATTGCAGTTCTCCTATTTCAAAGTTCTTGTAAGATATAGATTAAGGCAGCAGGCTACTTAGTGCTCCTAGTTAATGAAATCTTTTTGCATGTGGACTTCCCACATGTTGACAAAAATATAATTGAGTCAAATTCACAATTTGGCTAGAATTAGGCCTTTTAAAAAGTCAAGATCTTCCTTTTAACTACATGATATGATGGCCACTAGACGTGACAGAATTGTGACAAATATCCAAGTAGTCCTGAATAACAGTAGGGGAGGCAAAGCTCAGGGACATGTGTGAGATTCTGCTCCTGGAGTGTCTTCATTTCCCTGGTTCCCCAATAGATACTGAATTAACCCATCCTCTCTGTCAGCTCGCAAAAATCACTCTGTCACTTAGCTGTGTGACCTAGGGGAAAGTCACTTAACCTACCTGTGCCTCGATGTCTTTCTTTGTGAAATAGAAGGAAAGAGTCATAAGATTTCTATCAGAAATAAAATAGTTAAAAGTGTAAAATGTTTGGAACAGGGTCTAACACATAGTATGTAGTCTATATACTACATACTACGAACATGTAGTCTATGGAAATGTTAGGTGTTGTTTTTAAAAGTATTGATATTATGGGATGTTTTCTATTGAGCTTATGTTTTGGATATAAAGTATTTCAAAAGAAAAATTATTTTGGTGACTTTCTAGTCTAGGGTATGGCCTACTCTTTAGGCATAAGTATAGCTGTCGCCTTTTCTCCCCCATGCTCCCGACAGGGATTACCTCAGTGACAAAACCTTATGGAGCAAGTGCTTGAAGCCTGAAAACGTGGTGTCCTGGAATCTCACCCTCTTTTCCATTCTGCTCGGCATAGCAGTGATCCAGATGTGTCTCTGTGCCCTCCAAGTGCTCAACGGCCTCCTGGGGACAGTGTTAGGAGACTGCTGTGGGGTGAGTTGAAGTCTTTGTCCTTACTCCTCAGGATGGGAATCCAAGGCTGGCCTCCAGCGTTAGTGGAAATGACACGGCAAAGAGGGTGGCAGCTACAGAAAACCACAGGCAGGCTGGACAGTCCGGGCAGCCCCCTCTGTCAACCCAGGGAACAGTGACATTGTGTTGCAGGGGCCCAGAAACTGTTCTCTGTGCATGTTAATGTACCCAGGCTGAAGTTGGCCCAAATTTCCAGCCTCACACCCAGCTGACCACAGTCCTGGAGGCATGGGACTGCATGTACATATAGATATACAGTAATGTTATGCAAAAGTCCCCAGGAATGGGCATTTGTCATGCGCACCTAGTGCCAGCAGTAATGCATCACAGTCTCACCATTTCCTGACTAGAGCTACACAGTGGGTTAGAGCTGCCACATAATATATGGAATATGCTTCAGGAAAAGAACAGAACAAAACCTATATCTTGATGAAATTTATGATCCGAGGAGAGACATAGTTACGTGGGGGGAGGAGGAGATTCACTGAGGACTGAGTATGGGAACCAGTCGGAGGCGGGAGTGATCGGTAGAACAGGGCTGATGGGGAGGGGAAGGGGAGGGGAGAGCAACCACAAGAAAGGGGTATAATTCACCTTTCTGCCTTCTAGGGATATAAACGAGTTTAAACCCCTGTGATGACCTTCTCTGACGCGGTGGCATGTGGGAAGAGACACTGAACTTCACCTTCTCTCTTTGGGGTTGTCGGTTTCCCCGACTGTCAAAGCTCAGGGAGGGACAGTTATTCCTTCTTTCCAACCAGCTTAGCTCCACTTGGAGCTTTAGGTTAGTTTCAAATAAAAAAACAGGTTGTCCACGTGAGTTAGATTTATAAATCCTTCAAAGTTTTTCTCTAGCAATGGCAAATGTATAAAATCACATGTACTGCCACATACTTCTTTGTATATACAGGTATTAATGTATTTGGAAGTTTAACATAATTCAGAGGAAGGAAGCACAGTAAAAATGAAAAACTAAGACCAATATTTGTTTTCCAGATTTATGAGGAAAAAGAGTGACCGATGCATCATAAATAATTTTTATTTAGTTTCGTTTGGTTAACTTGTAACTAGTCTTGTGAGTTACTTGTAAGTAGTCTTTTGTGCCTGCCATTATTAGTAAGGGTTTTGTTATGTATATTAAATTAAAATCCTAACTCAGTGTGAATATAATAGAGAAGGTGTGTGTTTGGGGAAGGAGGAGAAAAGGTTCAATGAATTATACCATCTTTTCACTTTTCTACAAATGCTTCCTTTGATCAAACAAAAAACTATGTTTTAATCATTGATTTTGGCCCGGCCGGGCGTGGCTCAGCGGTTGAGCGTCGACCTGGGATCCAGGCAATCAGGTCAGGGCACATGCCCGGTTGTGGGCTTGATCGATGACTCTCTCATCATTGATGTTTCTGTCTCTCTCTCTCCCTCTCGTTTTCTCTCTCTGAAATCAATAAAGATATATTTTAATCATTGATTTTGTTAATAACTTGTCAGCCAATGGCCCAGAATTAAGGTAATAGGTATTATTAATTTTATGTGTTATATTATGACACTAACCTTGGTTTTATGAGTCAGGCCCTAATATGATGTTAAATCCATTGTGTTGATTTGAGTTCAAACCTCAGCTCCACCACATACCAGTTTGGGGATCCTGGGAAAGTTACTTTCTAAGTCTGTCTGTTTCCTCATCTGTAAAAGGACTGTTAAAAGGCAACCAATCATCCAAGAAATGTCCAAGGGCCCCCAGGGTGACGCCGGGAGGCCTGTGGGATCAGGCACAGTGAGGAGGACTCATGGCAGTTACAGCCAGAGTCTCACCTCTGCAACCTGCCACGCTGACAGGCACACTNCTGCACCTGCCACGCTGACAGGCACACTGACAACTAGGCTTCTCATAGTCACTAACACAGCAACTACCCATCGCCCCTGAGTGCTGGCCGCCTGGGGATGGCCACTGAACACAGGAAGGATCACAATCTTTTGATTTTTCCCTGAGGGCANGTCTTTTGATTTTGCCCTGAGGGCAATGGGAACTCTGAGGTCAGAGATCAAGTCTGGCACTGAACAGAAAGGAGGAAAGGCAGGCAAGTATGAATTACAATCTCCTTGGGAGAACTATAAACACACACACACACACACACACACAGTGATTCAAATCGGTTTAGATCTCTGATTCTCAAATGTGGCTGATCATCAGAATCACCCAGGAAATGTTCTAAAATTATGACTCTTGAGCCCCGGTTTAGACATAGCATCTGAAAACTGAGGATGAGGCACAGAAGTCTATCTTTTGTGTTACTTAGTTTTTAAAGCTCACCAGGGAATGCTAAAAACCAACCACTGGAGCAACCATTGACTAGACCACAGACTGGCAGGCACCATGGATGAAAAGGAGTCAGACCCCAAAGGACACTCACACTCTACCAATTAATATTAATAAAATGTAGTATATGCCAAATTCTAAAGGGTAACACAGGTAACTATGTGCCAGAGGTTCAGAGGCATCAGACCTTTGGGACTGAATCATCGACCTAAGTTCTTTGAAGAGGAAATAAGAATGTGGGGGAGGCATCGATTCCTTATCTAGGGCTTTTCCTTGATGCACATTTTAGAAATGAAGGTTTGTATTCATCACTCAATCCAGTCTCATTATTCCATAAAGAAATAACACATGACTTTGACAAGCTTTCACACAAAAACCAATTTTTCTAATTCAATTACCATAAAATTAGGAAAAATAGCTTACCACGGAGAAGAAGACTTAGGTGGAACAGGAAACAAGGGTAAGGTTGATGGGGCCCTTCCTTTGTACACACACACACACACACACAGCCCGAGGTTGGTAATAAAACTGTCCATAAATTTTCCTTATGTGAGTTGCTAACTTGGCATTGCTTTCTTGAGTATGTGATTGGTTTCTCTGCATTTTGGAGTACAAATTCGCCAAGGAAAGAGCAGTATCTCATTCGAGGCTGCACCCCACAGCCTAACAAGGGACCTAGCACATGGTAGGTAATCCTCAGATTTGCTGTGTTCCTGGCCCTGAAATAACTGTAGGAAGATTTCCAAACTTAGTAGCCAAAAAAGTAGGAAGTGGGCATCTGAGCTACAAATTGAATGAGGGGCTGAAACGACCTCAAGGCTCCATGACAGACCCATGAGTAGAGAAGCCTAAACGGTATTTCTTGTAACTGCATGTGGTTCCCGACTCTGAGCACCGTGGCCCTGGGCATTGACCTGGGCCGCTCCTGGGCCTCCCCCTCTGCCCAGCGTTCTTCTGGGCCCGTGAGCACAAGGCCAAAGGCCCGCCTGGTAGGTGTCTGCCCAGGATTGAGGGCAGCTCTGCTCTAAGCAGCTTAAGGAAGGCACGAGGACTCTGCAGATCTCCAGGGGGGGCCAAGAAAAACCAAACACACCTGAAAACAAATGGTTAGATGAGCATCCCAACATCATGGGATCATCCCAGTTATGACATCAGACTTCTTCAAGGGACAAAGCCCCTCGTGGTAGCAGGATATGACGAGAACTTTGTGTTGGTGTGATGCAAAGGACACATGAAGTGTGTGCAAGCTGAGTCACAAACCCTGGCACACACCCACGAAGGCAGGAGAGAGCGCCCTAGCACACACTGTGACCCATGGAGGGTAGTCGCCCTCAAGGTGAGGTAGGAAGAGNACAAGGTGAGGTAGGAAGAGAGAGAAGAGGGAAGAGGTGACAGGTGGGAGAGGAAGAGGAGGGGAGGGAGAAGTAAGTTCAGGGTTTAGCACAACTCATGGGAAGGACCACCGATCAGGCCACAGGGAGAAGAAAAATCGGCCTTTCTGCAAAGGCCCCTTGTCCTGTATTAGAAACAATAATAGGCTGACCCCAATCTTAACCCAACGTATCAGTCAGGGGTCAACCAGAGGCCAAGTATACATATAAATANGAAAATACCTCCAGACATTGCCAGTGTCCCCAGGAGACAAACTTCCATGGCCGAGAATCGCTGGGCTTGAACGTGTGCTGCTTGAGGAGAACCATTCGTGTTTTCTCCTGGAACTAACCGTGCTTTGCATGTAGGAAGAGCTCAGCAATACTGAGTGAGTGCACACTTAAGTGCACCAGCAAATTCCTGTCACCACAGTGACAGGCGTGCATTTGAAGGACAGTATCTGCTCCTGAAATGTCGGGTTCTGACTTCAGAGCCTTGCTCTTTTGGTCTAAATACTCTCCCCAATGACCACGCTGGCCGTGAATTTTTTTGTTGTTGTTTTGTTTTGTTTTTTAACATATCTTTATTGATTTCAGAGAGAGGAAAGAAGAGGGAGAGAGAGATAGAAACATCAATGATGAGAGAGTCACTGATTGAGCCCGCAACCCGGGCATTTGCCCTGACCGGGAATCAAACTCTGACTGCCCGAATCCCAGGTCAATGCTCAACCGCTGAGCCACGCCCGGCCAGGCCCGGCCGCGGTTCTCATGCCTATGTTCATGATCCCATATCTTTATCTCCAGCCCACACCACAGCCCTGCCCACTAAATGTCTGCTTTTGAATGGCTCCTTGGCCCCTCAAAGCAGCATTTCTAACTGGGCAACATGCCCAGTCCCTCCATACATGTTTCTCCTGAACTCCTGGGGTCTGGCAACATCATCATCTGCATTAAGAAGACACAGAACCTCAGGAGTGACCCTAGGTGACTGTCCTAAGTTCTCAACTTACCATGCCTGCCCTTTCTGTGGCTCCATCACCCTGCCCCTGCTGGCCTCTGCACTGCGCTGGAACATAGCAGATGTTCACTGCAAGGGACGTTATCACTGTCGTGGCATCATGACTATTCTGCTCCAAAGAAAGAAACAGCTGGTCTCAGGTTCTTCACAATCAAGCATTTATAATGAAAAACAGCATTCTTTGTTAATAAGCAGAAACCCTGGTGAGTTATAACATGGATCGTTTCACTTACTCCTCAGAACAACTGATCAAGTGCTCACAAGTGCCCATTCCTTGCCCTCTGCTTTGTCCTGACCTTTGTGGGACTTCTCCCCTCCCCACAGGCCCCTGTGCTTGGCCCCAGCCTGAGGCCTCACTGACGTGTCCCTTTCTCAGCTTCTCTGGGGAGTGGGCTGACCATAGGGAGAGACGTTTCCTGTCAGACTCCAGCCATCATGCCCCCTGGCTGCCCAGCTTTCCCTGCTGCTGGGCTCTGCCCACCCTCCGCACAAAGAAAGGCCTCTTCTGCTTGTGTCTGAGGCACCTGCAGATTCCTGAGATTGGGTTCTCCCGTGGCAGCTGTTCTTTAGAATAAAGCTTCTCCTTATCTAAGTCTGGGTTAGTCTGTACTTGACAGAAACCTCGGATATAGAAACCATGATTAGCCCATTTTGTGTAACAGTAAAGTGAGGCTTAGAAACAGGTCATAGCTTTCCAGGGCCCTACACATGGTGTTAACAAATGAAGAAAGTCCAAACCTACAGAAAACTTTTCTAAGTGTTTACTTGAACCAAAAACCTGAGGACTGGCCCAGAGCACAGTTTTCAAGGATTGAGAAAACGCTCCGAAGAATGGCAGTTTTGCAATTTAAAAAAAAATACATTTAGAATCAAAGGGAAAAACATAAAGAACATTACATGGAATGGGAAAACTAGATCCAAACCCAGATAGCTGACTACTGAGGTGAGTGTTCAGCTCTCAGCCGCTATGCTAGTGGCCTCACCAAGTCTTCTACTGGCTTCCGGAAGGGAGGCATCCTTATGCTACTTAAAGCTCATGTGTACAAGGAAATACTAAAATTTTGCTACATTTTAAAGGTTATACTTTATGCTAACCCAAATTTGTAAAAACTATCAATTAAATATTTTAATCAAAACTTGTATTTTTAAATAATCTTTCAAAGCACCTATATAAATACGACCACACTCAGTCCCCCTGGTTGCTCAAACCTATGTTTTTTATTTCCCAATTGTTTCTTATTAATTTATTTTATTTTTAAATTAAATTTATTAGGGTGACCGGTTAATAGTTATGTAGGTTTCAAGTGTACAA